CTTAGAAAAGGTCGAAAAAGATGACTTGTAAAGGTAACTTGTCTAACCTGTTCAGTGCTGTAAAGTTTGTTGTCCGAGGGAAGATATTGCGCATAACCAAGGGTGGCGTTGGTCCGTGGAACAATGGATAGCTTGGAAAAAATGCTAAATTCATGAGCTTGCCTTTCTGACAAGACAAGACTAAAAACACCAAGTAGCAATGAATTACACAAGAATCTAAATTCAGTCTTACTCCTAAAACGACAACGCGAGCTTAAAGAACTTCTCTCTCTAATTAAAATTGTTGTGGTGAATATGAATGGTCTAATCTAACAAAATTAAGGTAAAAAGATGGTTAGTAACTAAGGGCCCTGGTTCTAGGCTTTTGTCGTATCGTCCCATTGAACTTTAATCTGGCAATTATCAAGATGGTATATTTTTTCATGATAACAGTAATTTCAATTTATTTGCCCATTACAGTATACGACATTACGTTAGTTACAATTTCTAACATAAAGAGAACTTAAGCAAGCTCACTAGAGCTTTCACAAGATCTCCCTTTTTATAGTATAATTTAGAGTTATTAAGCGTCCAGATGGGATATAAATCACTTTGAGGTAATATAATTAAATATAAAACGAAAAAGAAACAATTGTTACATATATATCATTTAATTGATAAAGGAATTATTTATCATCATGACTTCAATTTCAGATAATTCACCACACAATCTTACAACCCAAACCGTTCTAGAGAAATTTTCAACTGAGTGCCAAAAGTAATTTGGGACTATATTTGTTTAGCTTTACTCCTCCCTGTGATTGGTCCAGAAAACTTACGTCACATTCTCAACAAATCAGATGCGAAATTAAAACCAATCACGACTTGGTCGCCCGTGTTTTCCCGCGCTCTAGGCAGTTTCAGGGATTGGTTTTAGTTTGAGTTCTCAGTGGTGCTATAATAGTAATTTCCCTTCCCTTGATTAACCGATGTTATTATTTTGGTTTTGGTTTTACGACAATCAGTCAAACCGTTTTCTTACCTTAAGTAACGGATCAGTATGTTCCAACATCCAGCCGACCAGAGCATGTCCAGCTTCGTGGAAAGCAACGATGCGGCGTTCTTCAGGAGACATGGTTTGAGTCTTCTTTTCCATGCCTGTCGTAAACATATAAAAAAAGATATGGTAAACCAACACCGATTACGGGGAGGTATTTGAATATGTCAACCTAACTGATAAAACAAATCACACAGTTTAGCGCAGGGGATGGTTGAGCGATTGAGGAGAGCTGTGTTGACAATAGGTTCATCCGCTTAGACAAAAACGAGTTTTGACACGATATTTACCAACCGTTTTTAGCTTAAGGTAAAAACAAGTTAACTGACTAAAGCGCGGGAGGCACGGGCGGGCGCGTCGCAACGGGTTTCAGTTTTGCATCTAATTGGTAGAGAGGGCGGCCCGAGCCGGTGTTCTGAGCCAATGAAATAGAAAAGTGAAACAAAACCTGAGCAAACCAGTATTACCTTCACCCCTCAGTTCACAACTGATCTGATCTCTAACTCTCTTTTATTTTAGGAAATATAACTTGGCCGCCGTGTCATCGAGCGAAATTAGCTAGTCTAAGCTTTAGGGCATGAACTTTACTTTACCAGCAATGACCCTTTCTACAGCATATTCAAAGTTTCTCTTATCAACCGTTTTATCTTTCATACGAGCTGCATGCAGAGCAGCCTCGTTGCAAATGTTGGCAATGTCCGCACCTATTAGGAGAAAGAATTTATGAGAGATTAGTAGCTGGTAGGAAATGTAACTTATGACGTTTGAGTGACATGAGAACGAAATAGTCAAAAATTAGAATTCTGATGGCACGTTAAAGAGGTTCGCGTGGCCACATCGAAATTTTTGATTATTTATTAACCGTTTCGCAGGAAAATTTGGTCATTCTAGGTCGGTCTGTCTTATGTTTGACCTCTTTCTTTGTTTGTATTTGTTGTAATTTTCGTTTTCCAACTCCCTGTAAAATACCATTACAATCATTGATTTTATCTTTGTGATTAGTAGTGTAACCAGGTTAGTTTACCCTTTCCTTGAAGTATTTTGCTGCTGCATTAGATGAGCAATACGTTTCCACATATTTTTTGCCCACTTCTAAAGGGTGGTTTTTTAGTGGTTTGTCGTATTTGGGGTAGCACAGGTTCTTTTCGTAGAACTCTTCGTTTCACTGTACACATGTTATGATTGTACCAAGATGCGTGTTCTACAAGATTGACTACCTCATTCCATTGTCTGAGTGTAGTCAGAATTTCTGATTGTTCAGTAGCAAACCCGCACATGGCTGACGCAATCCATCAAGAGGAGGTGGGGCAAGGGGCGTATCTACCGGAGAAGCATGAGAACGATTTCCACCAGGTGGTTTATGCACGCGCTATGTGGGTTTGTGAGGTCAGAAGGGTATTGTTTAGCCTTTCTCCCTTACAAGAACAGAGTAACAAAATGGTAATTTTTCTCTGTAATTTTTTAAAGAGATTTTTGTGATTAAGATAACCTTTCGAAACCTGAGTTTCTGACTGAACTTACTTAAAAAAAAATAATAATTAGTTCAAAGAAAACCTCACCACTGTTGCCGGGAGTGAGTTCTGCCAGAGTTTTAGAGAACGCCTTGACAGGCATCTTTAGGGACAGTTTCTTGAGGTGAACTTCAAATATTGCCTGCCGTTCAATTAGAGTTGGAAGGTCTATGGCGATGAGTCGATCAAATCGTCCAGGCCTCAGGAGAGCCTCAAAAGAGCAAAAAAAAAGAGAAAAAGGAAATATATAAATTTCATCAAGCGAAAATTCTGGCAGACAAAAGCTAGTCTTCAACTCCGTGTTTTATGCCTGTCGCGCTTCTTCAGAAGTTTTCCACATCGTTGCAATAGGGCTCGGCTTTCCCCTAAACTTGTCACCTGTTGCAGGCTCTCCAACTATGGAGGTAGTAAATATATCCTTTTCTTGTATTTCAGTATGTTTCCATGCTCACCAACCGTGGGGCTCACAAATTCCCTCGCATCTACCGATCAAACTTGCTCTGACTAATTTCAAGAGCGCGTAGGGTTTAACACTGAAGTTTGTAGATTATCTGAAGTGATCAGTTCTGGTGACAGCATTTTTACCTGGTCTAAAATGTCGTGTCTGTTAGTAGAAGCCAGCATTACGACACCTTCCATTGTGTTCATACCTTACACGAAAAAAGAAAAAAATTTGACAATAAGATCAAAAACTGTCCATTTCACAAAGACGGTAAAACAAATTCTCTCAAGCGGCAAAATCTAAAGAAATCTTTGCAGAGATACGCACAATTTCTACGTTGGCGGAGCTTTTAATAGATTTATCCACTATGTCAAAAGTGATAAAGAAGTTGGAAAGTATTAGTTGGTTTCTACGGTGTTAAAACTCATTACTTCCCGTTACCTCGACCTTCTTGTGGACATGCACAACGAATGAAGAGAGCAGCAGTTTTTAAAAATTCAAGGTAAAATCACAGGTCTTTGCTAGTTACACAGCTTTATGTTCTCCAGAAAATAAAGATCGAGATATGCAGAGTAGTTAAGAGAAGTCAGCGGTTTCAATATATTTTTCCCTAGGCGACTGCCGATGGTACAAGTCATGTATAATACACGGCTACGCCGCAAGGTGAAACCCAAACACGAAAGCCTGTACGCATGCGCTAAACAGACAGCGATAAAGGGTGTTTAAGGCGGTAAACCGGCTGTTATTGAAACATCTGTTAGTTAATGCTGGCAATAAGCTAGTCTCACCATCCATTTCAACAAGAAGCTGGTTTAAGGTGCTTTCCTGTTCACTGTGTCCTCCCATAGAACTACAAAATGGCAATTTAATTTGCATAAGTTAAGATTTTCCCTCAGCTTAAAATTTCATTGCAGTATAACTGCATTTTTCCTTTGTCAAGAATCACAATGATAAAATTTTATGCAACATAAACGCAAATGAAAATCATGCTTATCAGAAATATTTTTAACCAATTAAAAAAAAATTGAATTACAGCAGATATTTTGAGCTGTCATTAAATACTGACAGAAAGAAAGTCTCAGTATGAGAGAGAAATGACACAATCTTGAATTATATCAACTAGAATTTTGTGTAACTCCTTCCAAATAAACTAGCCAACTCACTTTGATGAACGTGATCTTCCAATGGCATCAACTTCATCAATGTAAAGAATACAAGGAGCAAGTTTCCTGGCTCGACCAAATAAATCCCTGACTCTTGCTGAGCCCACACCACCAAAAACTTCAACAAAATCTGACCCAGCCATAGTAAGGAAGGGTACATCTGCTTCTGTGGCCACTGCTTTGGCCAGTAGAGTCTTTCCTGTACCAGGAGGACCAACTAGGAGAGCTCCCTTAAAACGTGAAAATAAAACAATTAAACAAATGAATTTAAAAAAGTAAATTAACATGGGCATAAGTTCAGAGGGTAAAATGTAGACAGATTTGAATACCAGAACTAAATAGATACCTAATAATTATTGTTTAAAATATGTGCTAAATAGTAATGTAAAGGACAATTTTTACTGTAAAAGAAACTGCATTTCAAAGTGGAAAATGACAAGAATTGTCACATACATCCTTTCCCTGCTGAAGCACAGTCAGTGCCTTGAGTTCCAGACTCTTCCCTCCAGGCATAGTAAAAAAGTAAAGTAAAGTAAACAAAAGAAGACCCATACTTTTGTTTGCTCAGATGTGATGAGCTAGCAGTTGGTGAGCTCAAAAAGAAATTTTGAATAAGCCTGGTAAAAAGAAAATCAATTTATTATGGAAATATATAAATTTAAAGCTACATGATGGACACAACAAATAACAGCATCAACAACAGGTATTTTAATTACTAGATGTATGAGATGTCAAACAGTTCAAACCTTGGGAATTTTTGCTCCAAGCTCTGAATATCTTGCAGGCAACTTCAGATAGTCTACAAATTCCATCACTTCGCATTTTGCATCTTCCATTCCAGCAACATCTTTGAAGCTTAGAGGTAATGTTAAGATGAGATGTAGCACAAAAAGAAGTGAAAAAAAAAAAACAGATAACAAATAAAATTAGTAAGACAAAGTTTTTGCCATAGAGTCTTAAAAACTTTAAATTGTCAATTTACATAATCTCCTAGAATAGCTTCCAAATAATCATGATTTATTACCTTATTCCCTTTCCACTTCCTGGCATGACCACTGTTGGCTTAGCTTTGATGTAGTTAGCCTGTGGATTACAAGTTTTACTCTGTCAAGTTAGAAAAGAGATGCTCTGATTGGATGACTAAGGATTGTGTTGTATCTCTCTATAACCAACTTGTCCTTTCCTATAAAAATAACTAATGTGCCACTCATTTTATAAAAGGTTTTAAATGACAAATTTTTTTGACAGTCCCTCTCAACCACTCAATGCAAAACTAAAACCAATATTATGTGACTTGGTGACACATGTTTCCTGAAGTACAAGCAGGTTACATTTAAAGTTTTTATCAGCCTTTAATATCTTCTTTATTCTTATTTATTTAGCCATTATGATAAGTTTGGTTTATTAGGTGTTATGTCACTCAATCACAGAGCTCTGTAATTGTTTTGATTTTGTAACTTACAAATGGATTCATTCCCATAATTCCTCCTGATTTGTTTCCTCCTTTTGTTCCTCTTCCAAAGAGCCAATACCATACCAACCCCAAAACAGCAATACTTAGAGCAGCACTCAAGGCTGTGAATCTGTAGTGAGAAACACCCACAATTTAATGTCAAATAAGATCTGCATACTCAACAATCCGAGACTTCTTTGGACTACGTTCTTCAACACCTGATTAAATCTGATCCTGGCTCATTACCACTCCCCCCCCCCAAAAAAAAAAAAAAAACCATGGAACATTCACATGGTAGTTATATTGGGATTTAATGCTTAGAAACTCTGTCAATGTCCCTTAGAATAAACAAACTTCAAGATTTAATTGAAATCCTGAAATATCTCCCAAAATTCCAAGAATTCTTAAATGTTAAACTAGGTAGTAATTGTTGAGTTTGATCACAGGTCCAAGAATTTGGAATTTCTTGTAAATAATCTGATCTGTAGAGAGACTACAACTGCTTAACAACCTCATTGGTTTTGAATGATTTTTTAGGGAAAAAAATATGGAAATGAGTGAAAACTGAAAAAAAGACTTGCTTACAGCAATTCATTTGTTGTGCTGTATCTTACAGGAACAAAATCATGAGATGCTATGTGTAGATCAGCTTGAGCAGAAGCCATCTTCTTTTCAAAGCTGTCCAAACTTGCAATGCTGAACACAAAATGTGGTCCATGAGTCAATACCTAGGAAAAACATGCATTGCTCATTATCCAAACCAGAAATTTATAGAATGATGTGGATTTGAGGGTTAGTTCATGATAAATAAATCTGTCAATAGAAGTAAAAGTTGAATTGTGTTTTACACTATTAGGCTAAAATATTGAAATGGAAGATGTTTTGAGCAATTTATTGAGGTGATTGCTGACGGCTCTCTGACTGCATGCTAAAGGGAACAAGAAGAAAAGACGCCAGTATAATAGGTTCAAGGTTTGAAGGCCAAGGAAAGAGAAACGAAAGACAGCTTAGAGAAGGATGGTTAAATAGAGCTGTATAATTATAAATTACAGCAGGTTGGATAAAAAGAGCAGCTTGGGCAAAATAGATGAAAGCTTTAAGGGCACGATACACTATATGACATGTACATGTAACTACCAAACCTAGAGGGAACAAGTTGCCTCAACAAGAAGGTTAGCGTTTCGTCATACAGTTCAGAACTGTTTCACCTTTATACTAGAATCACAGCAATTAATATTATAAGTTTAAGCAACTTGCTTTGAGAGCAGAGCACACCAAGTTATCTCTTACAGAGATCTACTCCAGTAGGATTTCCTCTTGTGTCTCCAAATGCCTTCCCTACAGTTAGATATTAAGTAGATAAAGCTAACACAAATCCCAGGTGAGTTGCAACCTGCAGTACTCTACTGCTGGACATGTCAGGTCCCATCCTCACTCATAAATCAGCACACAACAGTATAGAATACCTCCTTTCCTCCTACTACTGCACCTCTGTGTAGGAAGACATAAACTTTGTCCTGACTTGAAGGTACTTCTTGGTGCTCAACCTGGAAATGAAGAAAACTCATATAATTTAACATTAATAACAAACCAACACAGACAAAGAACATCTCCAGTATGCATTCATGTACTGTATATCCCAAATAACACACCTAAAAATAATCAAGGGTGGTAATCATCAATTATATTGTAAGACCATGTATGTGGTGATTAAAATGTTTACTTGGTTTAAGTTAAACCTAATCTACTATTCTATAATAATTGCATACTACATACTTATTTATTTAAATCCTCCTGTCTAAAATATAAAGCATTCTTTATAATCATGTAAAGGCTGATAGTTTTGAAAGAAACTGTTTGGGGCTGCGTCGGTGGGAGTAACGAAATAATTTGGA